TTTTTTTTTTTTTTTTTTTTTTTTCCTGGCAGTATAGGGTCTCCCATAGGTTGCCCAGGCAGGACTTACACCTGCAATCCTCCTGACTCAGCCTCCCTCAGTGTTGGTCAAATTTCAAGTTTCATCTTAAATGTCACCCCCTCAGAGCAGCATTCTCTAACTACCCAGACAGATGTTACTCTCTGCTCCATAATCTATTTCCTTCAGAGAATCTTGATCTAAACTGATTGCCTTTATTTGTTCCTGTGAATACCCTCTTTTCTGCCAGAATGCAGACTCTGGGAGGTAGAGATTTCATCCAGTTTGTTTACCTCTGTAATCCCTAGCACAAGGCACATCCAGAGGCATTTAACACACAGTTGTTAAATGAATGAATGAATGAGTATTAAATCCAACTCAACTACTCCTTTCAAAAGGAATTCCTGACTGACATCAGGATCCTCTTTGATGGATGTTGTGCTGCAATAACAACAACTAAAGTGCACAGGAAAAGAACTGAGAAATGCTCTGGGTATGATCGTTGGCACTCCAGAAGAAAGGAAAGAAGGGAGGGAAGAGAAAAAGTGGTTACTGAGTTCTGGATATACGCCATTCTCAGAATAGGTGCTGGGCATGCAGGGATGACTGAGAGAAACATGATCTGGATCCTCACTGGACCTTTTCTTTTTTTTTAAACTGGGGTATCAAATTCAGGACCCTGCACTTGCAAGGCAGGCAGCAGAACCACTGACCTAAATCCCCAGCCCCTTATAGCTTTTTAATAATAATTTTTTCTGATAGTAAAGATTGCTGAAATTAGAGTTAACCACACAGATTCTACTTTAGCCTAACTAACTCTGGCTGCATTAGGAAGTTATGGAATCTTTATTAAAGTGGATAAAAAGGCAGCATTGCAATAATGTACTCTCAATTCTGCTCACCTTTCTAGAAGAGAAGCGGACTTTAAAACATTTACTTAAAGTGACAAGAAAACTTCTAGGACTCATCAATATACAAGCTACTCGTGTGCTGTAAAACCAAGAACCATCAATGAGATTTTTCTGATGTCAAAGAATTTCTGGTTGCTCACTTTAGAACTATCTCCTAATCATACTCAATTTCACAAAATAATGCTTTAATATTATCAGCATGTGAGCCAAGGATTGAAGGGTCCTACAGGTATTGGGTCCACATCTAGCATTCAAACAGAATAGTAAAGTATAAAAATATATCTCTATACATTATAAAATATAAAGTTCTATTTCAAAATTTTTAATTACTTACCCCTTTGCCCAATTTCCTTTCATAGGTTTTATGCCGTAGTCCTAATCCCAACAACCCCAAACCAACCAGCAGCCACAACACTAAACAGAAAGAAATCATTGTTTAAAATTAACTAGATTTACTTTTTAAAATAACTTTTTCACAATTATTGAGTTTTTTGGGCAAGGAGTTTGTGGGAATGTTTAGATCTTGGATTGATTTTCATGTGTGAAATGCATATAAAACACATACTTTATTCGGGTTTCAAAGAATATCCCCTAAATGTGATGAAGGGCCCATGAACTTAAAGGGAAAGTAAATTACAAAGTAAACAAGAAAACAAGACTCCATGAGCAGGAAACAGAGTGGACAGAGATTCTGCAGAATCAAGGAAGCGGGGGAAGTGCCTAAACAATGTAAAATAAATTGTAAAAATATTTAGACAAAGTGGAAAATTAATTAAAAAGCCAAATAAGTGGTACAAACAAATCACAATACATTAAAAATCACTAGGAAAGTAGTTGAAACACTTCAAAACAAAATTTGACATTCTGGACAAGATAAAACAATGAAAACAGTAAGAAGGCCAGTCATTGCCAGGACTTTGGATGAGGGAGGGATGAATCCATGCTCAGGGAACACTTAGGGCAGCAAAACCATTCTAAATGATACTGTCATTGTGACTACTACAGTAGAGTTGTTATGCATTTGTCAAAACCGACTGACTGAGCCAGGCACAGTGGTGCACACCTGTAATCCCAACACTATGGAAGGCTGAGGCAGCAAGATGAAAAAGTCAAGTACAGGGCCAGTGGTTCCACCACCTCCCTTGCAAGTGCAAGGTCCTGGGTTCAATCCGTGGTACCAAAAAAAAAAAAAAGTTCAAGTCCAGCCTGGGTAACCTAGGGACTTAGTGAGACCCCTGTCTCAAAATTTAAAAATTAAAAAGGCTGGGGATATATGGCTCAGTGCCAAGGCCCTGGTTCAGTCTCCAGTACCACACAACAGAACAAAAATAACCCACAGAATCAACAACACTGAGATGAACTTGTGCCTTGTAAATGTAGGTTCACTGATTATAACAAATATGTCACCATAGAGATTTTGATACTGCGAGTAGCTTAGGTTTGTGGGGGCAGAAGATACATAGGAAATCTCTGTACCTTCCACTCAGTTTTGCTGTGATCCTAAAACTGCTCTGGAAAATAAAGTCTAATTTTTAAAACTCTGTAGATGGAAAAATGGAAACAAAATCTTTGTAAATAGGGAAGGGTGGGGCCAGGTTCTGAGTTCAATCCCCAGTACCAAAAAATAAATGAATTAAATAAATAAATAGGGGAGAGCGGAGAGGGTAAAGTGAGCGCAGGGCAATGGGGAAAATAAGAACCAAGATACATCATGTAAAGGTACAAGATCCTAAATGATGACTGTAACTGTACTGTATACCTAAAATGTACCAATAAACTCAATGGGGGGAAAACTCATAGAAAAACTTTTCCAAATGCCTCAATTTGATGAGTGAACTAAATAATTATGATTATGTTAAAAATCAAGTTTAAGAACCAATAAAAGCTACCAGATTCTGGTTCAAGGGACGAGCCAAAAAACAAAAGAAAACACACACAAACACATTCCTCCTAAAGCTAAATATGACCTTTCTAAATCCTGATGAAAATTATCTGATGGTTTTTATATGATGGTCTTACTGCATTGTGACACATCTCTTGGGAATTTTAAAAAATCAATACAGCTTAATTGTTTTCTATCTTTAACACTATAAGATTTTGTCTCTGTAGTAAAATATCAATGCCTTGAGGGTGAAGACTATGATTTATATGTCTTTGGGTCCTCCTTAACAATTACCTAATCTGTGCTTTGTATGCATTCAAGTTTTACTAAATCTACTCTGTTTTAAATTTTAATTATTACATACAGGTAATAATTAACTGAATGTTTGAAACTCATGTTTAGCAACACACTAAATGTTAATATATTTAATTTTCAAAAGTAGAGAGAACAAGAAATGGAATAATCTCAATTACTAGAACAAAGCATTTTGGAAATTCTACCCATTAAATCAGCTTATCTGTATTAGAAGTAAAATAAAACTAATGCAGACTATTTGTGTTTCAAATGACACAATATCATAGATTTGCTCTAAAGCACTTAAACCAAACTAAGTGGGAAGACAGCTGATCTCACCACTGGCAAAATATTGAGAATCATTAAAGTTCAGTGGGAAGTATATGAGGGTTCACTACATTTGAATTACATATGTTTGAAAACTTATGTAATAACATCTTTCTATAAAAAATGCAAAACTATACTTACAAAGTTTAATGTATTTATCACTTTTTCTGAAAGGTTCTTTAGGACTGTTTTTTGTTTGCAGGAGAAAGTCAAAGTTTTTCTTTGAACCAAATAACATATTCAATCCAATAATTAACATCGTGGACCCTGTTAAAAGAGAAAGAAAATAATATAGGATTATGTGAAAACCTTTCCAATGGTAAATCCCTGGAGCCAAGATGCATTTTAATTGAACATTCCCTGAAATTCAGTTACTGAATTCATTCATCTGGGCACCTAGGCCATTGCTCCTGCAGTGCTTTCAGTAAGAGAGACAATTATGAGACTAAGACTCATGCTTGACGTGGAAGAATTTCAGCCCGTCCCTGGTGAGGAATGTCCTTGAATTTCCCAAGTGTTCCCTAGTGGCCAGACTGCTCGTGGATGGTCTATCACTGCCTGGTGATGAAGCAGTGACAGTGGAGAGCAAGCTGTCATGGGGCTCCACCTTCTCCACTGAAGAGCACTCACATGCACCGAGATGAGATGCACAATGAAACACACACAGGTTCTCAGTAAGGCGGTGCTTGTAGCAACGACCCTACTCCAAATGTGGGCATCCAGGCCACAGGATCAAGGCAAAAGATGCAGGCCAGAATTCACAGGGTGCCAACAACAGGTCAGTCAAGTTGGGCTAGATGGGGATGCACTACAAAGGAGGTTACATATAATATAAAGTTTACATGCTGCTAAAATCATACATAATAAGAACGTATGTAAATAGAGATATAGAACAATATGTAAATCAGGAAGTGCCAAGCTAAGCTTGCGTGGAAGACTACCAGAAAAGTTAGGTCCATTTTTCTGAGAAATAGTAAGTGAAATTTAGAAAATAAATCTATAACTTCCTGGGATTTAGCTCAGCAGTTCCACCACCGGCCTTGCAAGTACAAGGTTCCAAGTTCAATCCCCGGTACCAAAAAATAAAATTAAATTAAAAGTAAATTTATAACTAACTTCTGATATAATGCATATTCTTTTCAATTCGGTCGTATTAAATGGTACTCTGAACATTGGCAACATTCTTGGTTTTTGTAGCCTCCCCTATATAATGTCACTCTTCCTAATAAGATGTATGAAGCCATAATAATGCATGGTTTCTGCAATCCAGTATGTAGTGAGAAGAAAACTCAAAGATCTCATCAGTTATAAAATTCTAAGGAAACAAATTTATGCATATAATAGCTCTTACTTTCTCCTTTTCTTCACAAGGCAGACCCCCTAAGTAAGCTGGAATAAGAAAAAAGCAGGGCATTGGACAGGCAAACAGAACAGGACAGAGTACACCCACCTGAAAGAAACGAGAAAAGATACAAAGTTCACAAAGCCAGGGTCACTGCAGAAGAAAAGTAGCAATGTATTTCACTGACGAGGGGAGATTGGGCACTGGGCAAAAATATCAAGCTATCAAAGGTCATTTGTAAAGTATTCATTCCATGTCTCTCAGTAACACTTTCCAAAGCAGCCTGACCTGACAGATGTGTGGCCCTGGGGTAGGAAAGGTGCACAGAGCAGTTGGACATGTCAGGGGCACCCGGCAGAACTGAGACAGACCACAGGCAGAAGCCACCCCACTCTCTTGCAGCAGCATCCATGATGTTCACAGAAGTCTGTCTTGTCTATCTGTGTTTCTCCACTTGGCTAAGGCACCAGGTGGGCAGAGACACCAGGCATCTTTCACTTCTGGCCTCTGGCACCATGCCAAGAGCATAGTAGATGTGTGGAGTTTTTTTTTTAATGAATAAAGGAAAAAAATAGTGCATAAGCAAACACAAACTAGATACTGTCCCTTTGTTTTCTAAGATGTTATTGTGAGGATTTGACAAATTTTACTTACAATGACTGGCAACATTTGATTTGTGTATGGGTGGTATACATCAGTAATTTCCTTACTGCTAGAAGACAAAAGGACCTTGTCTCAAAATTAAAAAAGAAAGTCTGGAATGTAATTCAGTGTGAAGGCCCTGGGCTCAATTCCCTGTACTATAAATAAATAAATTACAAACAAACTTAGGCATTTTTAAATTTTTGGTATGCAAATTCATAACCACAGAATGGAAAATATATTAATTCTGTGATTTAAGAGTTTACCATTTATACTAAAATACATATGTACTATATTTTAATGGTAAGAATATAGTAAATAAAGACCATCGATAAAATTCAAAATAACCAAAAAAATCACAATCCATAGGTATATTTATGAAAGTACTATTGACATAGCAACATGAACATAATAATTATACCTTCTCTATCATATTATATACATAGTTTACATTTTATTATGGATTAAAAATTTTTCATAACCAATTCTTTTAAAAGGGCTTGGAGTAATAAATATTACTGAAAGGCATGATAAATTAAGAAATTTGTTTTTAACTTATGATTCTGACAGTCTTCCAGGTTAGTTTTTTGTTTGTTTGTTTTGTTTTACCATGAGAAGCTATTTTACTAAGCAAACAAGATCATCTATCCTCATCAGCCATGTACAGTGCTAAATCCCAGCCAGTCCTTGAGGATATTTTTGACATCTTTAAACTCTTTAGGTGTACTCACCCAGAAGCACATCTGATCTTTCTCTAGCGTAGATGCCTCCTGGAACAAACTTAAAAGCTGTGCACCATGCACAGAAGAACATGTCTAGAATATAAACTGTCATGGCCACAGCCATGGTCTCCCCAGGCCTTGTCCCTGAGCTAACCAGGTGTCCAAGCACTTGAGGCCACATGGACCCAGTGAAGGTGGCCAGGACACAGCCGGAAACAGCAGCTGCCCATGCGCGCAGGTAAAGAAGACCAGCGGCCGAAGCTGCTCCTGTTTGTGAGAGAGAAAGGGGGAAAAGTGAGCCAAAGAGAAAAGCAATAAAGCTTATAGGACAACCAATTTATACCCAGTTAGAGCCAGAGGGATCGCAGGTATAGACTGCTTCACTCCCCAGAGAAATTAAAAAAAAAAAAAAAAACTAGCAGGTGAATTTGAGTTGTTCAAGGCCACACAGCCATTCTCTGTCACACCTGGAGGTGGAAGACAGGTTTAGTAAACATTGGGCCAATGCTATTTCTTTGGGAAGAACAAGAGAACAGAAGAAGGCGTTTCAGATACAGTGATTGGTGCTATTGTCCTAAGAGCAACAAAAACTGAAATTATCTGTTATACCAAAATCTATTCATTAAACGTAACCAGCCAAATACAGTAGAAAACACACATAGAGTCAGTGTGGTTTCTAGAACATTTTTGTTAAGGCACTTTCTAAAGTAATTTCTGCCCCTGTCCCACAATAGGTACCTTCACCTTCATGACCATACAGCCCCCAAAGAGGGTGGCCCTGAGAAAGCATTGGTAGTCTTGCTGCCTTAGCAAATCTGTGGCCTGCTGGATTGTGACCACAGAATGCCAGGTGTTGGGGCAGAGAATCTGTCTGGTCTGCACCTAACAAATGTTGCTCTACTGAGCCGACATGGAGGTCACATAATCCGCCTCCCAGTTGTATGAAATCAGCATTGACGTTTGCATTGCTCTTCAGGCCCACCCCACCTGGAGCTATCAAGAGAAGACATTTTCATAAGCAACATGGCAATTTTGAAACGTTTCAGTCACCATTGTAAACCAGAACTCATCCTTCAAGATGTCTACAGCAGACACTTTACCGCTTAGGGCAAGGACTTCACAAAAAGAGGAGTAGGGAGCAGAAAGCGGCTTCAGCCAACTTCTTCATGCTTTATGACTCAGATCCATTAGTAAGTTCCACCTGCACCAGCGCAAGACAAAGCCATGGGACTTTGTATTCATGCCCCTTCAAAAAGAATCTCACCAGGATAACCACAAGACCCAGATTCAAGGGTCCTCTACAACCTATGGAGTTCAACCCCATAGTGAGACCTACATCCTGCAGTAGTGATTTTTTTTGTTCTGGATACCTGTAATACTTACTTACTATAGAAACTTTAAAAATACAGAACTGTAGAGGCAATGACAGATTACCTAGGACTGAGACAACCACAGTAAGGGGTTGCCCTACCACATATCGCCTAATAGGATTATTCTGAAAAATTTGTGGTTAAGTAATTCCATCATCATGCAAATATCAGCGTGTACTTACACAGACCTAGATGCTCTAGCCCATTATACCCAGACTGTGGTCTACACCAGCAGTGGCGAACCTATGGCACTTGTGCTGCAACCTCTACCTGTTTGTTATCATTGAAAGCGCTACTTTTTTGGAGCAGTGCTACTGCTTCAAGGCTACAAAAGTCTGTAGCACGTTACTGTATTGAATACTGTAGGCAGGTGTGACACAGTGGTGATTGTGTATCTAAACAGAAAATGTACAGTATAGTAAACATATTAGGTGTTAGGACTCTTTTCATTTTAGTCTTGTGGGACCACCATTGTATATACCACCTGTCATTGAATGAAATGTCATTACATGGTGTGTGTATTTCTCCTAAGATGGTTTTCTATGTATACACAGCAGTATTTTTACATAAATGGAACTGTAACATATATTAAGGATTATATGTTACTTTTTAAAATTCTTTTTATTGAGTTTATTGGCACAATCTAGGTATACAATACAGTTACATTCATTATTGGGATCCTGTACCTTTACATAATAGGTCTTGGTTCTCATTTTTTCCCCTTGTCCCTGCCCTCCCTTCATCCCCTCCTGTCCTCCCCATTTACAAACACTTTATTTCCATTTTTTCAATTTCTCATATTTTTTTCCTCTCCCTTATTACCTTCCCCCCTTCCCACTTTCCCTACACCTTTAGCCCTTTACTTCCTATTTCACATTATTAATTATCTCATTAGGATCATGTGTACTACCATAGTGTTTCACACCAGAAAAACTATTCGGTATTTCAGTTAAAGAAATCTCTGTGTGAACATTAAAAATAGGGAATCCTAACATAAAACTAAAAAAGGAAAGTAAAAGAGAAAAGGCAATGATGTAAGATTAAAATAATCCTTAATTCTGAAGATGAAAATGGTCCCTGAACATATTTAAATTGCTTCTTGCTCTTGGTAGTCTTATCTTATTCTTTTTTTCATTATTTAGAGAATACTATATGTTACTCTTGATGTGACATTACATGAAGAGTTATTTGTTCACATTATTAGTTTTTTCTGAAATATTTTTGTGTATCTAATACATCCTGTATACATACACTACAGCATACATACTCATTTTTCTTTTAGCTGTCTATGAAGTTTCTAATATCAAGCTTTTAAAACAGTGTGATGAACAACTTTCCTTGTCAGTTAATCCCTTACCATATGTCTGTTATTTTCTTTCTTTCTTTCTTTCTTTCTTTCTTTCTTTCTTTCTTTCTTTCTTTCCTTTCTTTTTTTTTGAGACAGGGTCTCACTATGTAGTTGAGATTGACCTGGAACTCACTATGTAGCCCAGGGTGGTCTTGAACTCACAGCAATCCCCTCCTGCCTCAGCCTCCTGAGTGTGGGGATTACAGGCGTGGGCCATCACGCCCGGCTATGTCTGTTATTTTCTTAAGACAGATTCCCAGCAGTGCAGCCTCTGCCAAGGGTTTATTTTAAAGCTATTACTTGTGGTCAGTTGCTGCCCTGGAAGATGACACCAGCTTTAACTGCCTTAAGAAAACTTGCCAAAGTCATTGCATGTTCAAAACCCTGCCAAAATTAGTTCTTTCTAGAATCTATTACTAAATTAATGATAAAAGTGGTATGATATTTAAAATTGGTCTTATTAGTGAGATTGAGTTTTCCCTGTTTGCTGGCTTATAATGACTATTTTTAAAAGAATAAATCCTACTTTGAATTCTAATATAAAGATATTAAAATGACTGCTACTGCCTGGGCATGGTGGTTCACACCTGTAATCTCAACACTCGGGAGGCTGAGGCAGGAGAATTGTTGTGAGTTTAGGGCCAGTCTGGGCTATGCAGTGAGTTCGAGGCCAACTATAACTACATAAAGAGACCCTATCTCAATAAATAAATAAATAAATAAAACAAAGAGGTGATTTTGTTGTCTGTGTCTTACTACAAAGAATTATCTAAAGGGTTTATTTTTATTTAGTTTGTGTTTTAACGTAAATTCCATATTTTAAAACTAAAATTGTACTTTTGGGGGATCTGGGATCAAACTTAGGACCTTGAACTTGCAAGGGAAGGAAGAGTGCCACTGAGCTAAGTCCCCAGCCCCTAAAATTGTATTTTTAAGTAGGTTATAAATTCCAAGGCCAATAAAAGGTGGTAGAAAAGGAACCTTCTAATGCCTGTTATTCACTAGGTCCCTTTAGGGGAGGCAACCAATGCTAGCATTTATTTCTGCATCTTTCAAGAGTTGTTTTCTGCATACAAAGAAAAATATATTTATATACATTTTCCTTTCTTTTTGTACACCAATTGTAGCAGATGGTACTCAACGATAGTCACTTTGCCCTTTTTACTTAACTGTATACCTTAGTTGTTTTTTTTTTATTTGTTTGAGACAGAGGCCTTCCGAATAATTGCTCCCAAATCTTTCCATCTAAGCACCAAGCAGAATTAATGGTGACTGAAATTGCAACGACATGTCTAATAAGAATTGGCATGTTACTTTTCAATGGGTCATGTTTTCATAAAATAAAATTATATGCACACTCTGCAGTACACCAGGGCCCTTTCAGTATACTTAAAACATCTATGCTTTTTGCTAATAGAATTTTGATTTTACTAATTTAATTGCTATCAAAATTTAAAGCTCCCGTTATCTTTGCTTTTACGAAGTTCTTGGGTCACTGCCAGAATTAATTTCATGTTGAGTCTTCAGAGGGAGACAAAAGTGTACAGTGGGAAAACATGACTCCTGTTTCTATGCTTTATCACACGGTTTTCAGAGATGAAGAACGGTGAATAGTGAGCCCTCTTTAGATAATTAGTTTGCGCTCCAACTTACATAAGACAAGCAGATCAGAAAGGAAAATGAAGTTTTAGGAATTATGACCCTAATTCCCTGTACTACAAATAGCCAATTAAAGCCTTAAATTTGCTGCCTGCAGAATCTTTGAAACTACTGCACAGATGCAGCAAAACCAGATTAGGTTTAACTCTCAAATATGCAACCTTATTTTTGCGAGCAAATAAGACCATAAGCTCATGGCTTTTCTGTTCTTTAACATTCGTGTTTCTGTGTTTCTTAGTCTCCCCGTGTTTAAAACAAAGCTGCTTATTACCTGCCCAATAAGCACTTTGCTGATCTTCTATAAGAAAAAGCAAGCTATAAAGGCTGGGCAAACTCTTAATGCATTTCATTTTCCTTTTCTAACTTGCACATTGATAAATAAGCCAAATATGCTCCTTGGGAACTCAGTTATCAGGCCCTTTTCCTAAAGAATCGCACGAAGCAGCTCTCAAATGAGAAGAAAGTTACTCCTAAATGCGCACTAACTTCCAGACTGCAGGTGAGATTCCAGCCAGAAAATACACAAGCAAGTAAAGACAGCTCAACAAGACCGCAACAGCTTGCTCATGCAGCTCCACGAAGAAGAGGACCTGGCCAGCAGCCTCAGTCATTTAGCAACCTATTTGGATTCCACACACATTTCTATGCAAAGCCAATGACTGGCACAGGATGCAGAAATTGACTTGTTACATTTTCCATCCAATCTTCTGTTACTGATATGCTCAGCCTCACAGATCGAGGACAACACTTTGAATCACCTGCTTAATATGTATAAAGACATCTCACAGAAACCAAATATTGCGTTTGCTCTGCAAAAGAGCAGGGAATTTTTACTTACTGCCAGCAATGACTACTGTCTAACCACCTCTGCCTTTTAAGGGGAAGGAGGAGGAGGGGAGCAGCATAATTCAGTCACAGGAAAATAACACAATGCACCTATGTGCTCGCAAAGACACATGGGAGAGGAGAGGGGGCAGCCTAAAATGTAACAGCCTTCCCCGATGTCCCTGGATCCTAAAGGGTGTAACTACACAGAAATAACCCAGGTTTGGACAGAAGCATGGATCCCAAAGATAGGTAAAAGAATGAGAAACGGAATTATTACATGTAAAAGAGAAAAGGAAATAAAATATCATTATAGGACCTCAGAACAGGGCAATTTTGAAAAACAGAAGCAAGAACTCTTGAAGAAAGAAAAGCAGCTGGTGATAGGTCACTCTCTACCCTTTCAGTAAAAGGTGCTACTTACACAACGCCTGGCGTAAGTATTTTTGAGGGGCGGTAGTCATTATGGTTTATATCTGGATGTCCCCCAGTCTCATGCGCTCAGAGGCGGGGCTTTTGCAAGGTGGTTGGGTTATATGAGGGGTATTATAGCTGATGTGCTTTTAGGAGGTGGGGTCTGGTGGATCATGGTGGGCCTGACCTAGAAGGACATAACTTCCTTCCCAGCTTCTGCCTGGACTCTCTCCTTCCTGGATGCCATGAAGTGAGCAGCTGTCCTTCGCCACGCCTCCCTGCTGCTCATGGACTGAAATATGAGCCCAAATAATCCTCTTCTCCTTTACAATGTGGGTATCAGATGTTTTGCCTCAGTGACAAGAAAGTGACTAAAACAGTAGTATTGTGACAGTGTAGTCTTGGGGCATAGGACATCCACAGAAGGTAAGGAAGGACAGGGAAAACAGGAGTCTGAAGCAGGCTGTCATCAGGGACCTTGGCGACATCTGGTTTATAGGTGCCACAGCAACTTGTCACAGCCCATTTAGCTATAGTGCATATCTGTATGGCTGCATCTTCTTCCAGCCTAGCTGTGTATACATTCAAGTAAACTGGGTAACCAAGCTCAACAGGGCACATCTGCGGGTAACTCCGACATACCTACAGCCCACCAGATAGCGCCATGAAACCATGAGCACGCTGAAAGCATCAATCCACTTGTCAAACTCAGCAGAACTGCACCTCTGTGAAAATAAAAATACATCAAGACATTCGATGTGATTGATGGTTCATTGTTTCGTGTGTAAAACAGAAATAGGACTCCTAACCCTAGTTACATTCAAAAGAAAATATGGGTACGAAAGAACCAATGAGATCATGACAGCCCATTGGGAACTAATATGATACACATTTGGAACCATGAAGTATAAAAACTCTGACTTCAGATAAATGGTATCTGCAGTCTCTCATGGTCGAGGTAAACACAATAACTGAGTTTTCTCAAACTCCACCCTGGTCATGTGACATTTTAAATGACTGCCAAAGATCAATAGAAAAAAAAAAAGTCATTATCAATAGTTTTATGTAGTTGGCCGTTTTTGTTTCTTTTCTGTGCCCCAGTACTTGCTTTTACTTAGTCTCTGCTTTCCTGAGACCAGTGTCAGTTTGACAAATATTGACAGCTGTGCAGTTTCTCAAAATTGCTACACATTATTTCATTCTTTTGCTGTCTTGGCAAAAACATGTAGAAGGAACAAAAAGAAGTTAATTAAACTTTAAGAAGAAATCTAGCAGGACTGGGCCGGGAATTTAGCTCAGTCATCGATACCAGGTACAAAAAAACAAAACAAAACAAAACCTAGCCCAAGTAATAGTTACAATGTAGCACTCACTGAAGCAGAGATAAGAAAAATTGAGCTGCAAAATAGCATTTACTACATGCTAGGTGCTGTTTTAAGATTTTTACCTGTATTATTATTCATTTAATCCTCATGAGTTTGTAAGGTAAATGCCATTACTGTGTCCATTTGGCTAAGGAGAGTGCCAGGGGAAAGAGCATTCTCTCATCAGACACGGGGTCCTAGCCACCTAGAGCCCATGTCTGTGACAGCAGGCCAGCGGCTGCTGCTCCTTTCCTGCCGCTGAGAAGGCTCCAGGAGCAGGAATTCCCCCAGGATGCCCACACCGGAGCTCTGACAACATCTCACGCGTAACCCTCAGTTTCCCCTCTCCTACACTTCCACAGTCATTGGTTCAGCACATGGGGCAACTCTGGCTGCTCCTTTCCAGAGTTCACAATAACTTCAGGCAACGTTTCTGACAACTAGGAGAATGGATATGAAATTCTGTGTCTGGCTAGCACAGATCTGGCTTGTCAAACCAAAGAGATATTTCTTCCTCTAGACATAACTGCCAATTGCTTGACTGCTTCCAAAACCCAAACTCACCCAAATGGGTTAGGACCTGGCCCTGGGTAGGGATGACCACTCACTGCCCATCTGGAAACAAGAGAGACCTCTCCGAAGACCCAGTGGGTGAGGAACACAAGGGTTCCAAAGGCAACCCCTGCCAACAGCCAGTTAGGTCTACAGGCCAGGCTCTTGGCTGCCTTGCTAGGCTTCTTCCCTTCCAGATTACTGAAGTCCTCATCTAGAATTGGAGGGAGAAAAAGAAAGCCCATTAGGTGGAATTCATCCAGTATTATTTGACAGACTTTTAGCAAGTAAGAAATAGTACCTGGCCGAGGAGCTTCTCTACAGGAGGTTGTTTTGTTTGGTTTGGTACCAGGGATCGAACCTGGGACATTGCATTTGGGAGGCAGGTGGTAGAACCCCTGAGCTAAATTCCCCGGCCCAGGGAAGAAGAGATACGCAACTTAAATACAAGGCAGAATGTGCTGATGGCTATTTGGCGGGAGGATGATCTTTAGCAGGCTAGATAAGGGATGGTGTAAGAGAGGACGGGTGCTTCTGAATTGGACAAGAAGAATGCAGAAAGCTGTGGACTTCATGTGCAGGTAACAGAAGGAGCAAAATTATGCTGATAAAGTGAGTGACGGGAAACAAATGCCACCCAACTTGAGTGGAACATTTCCAGTACACCAGCTTCCTTCCAAAGCAGCAAGACTTTCGCCAAACCCTCTGTGTGCTCAGGGTAATTAACTGCATTTACTGAGCAGTTACTATGCGCCAACCCCTCTTCTGAGCTCTTTATATTAACTCATTCAATCTTCACATTTTTGTGGATAGACTCTATCACTAATCCCACTTTACAGATTATAAAATCTTACCCAGAGAGATCAATTAGATTCTCCAAGGTCTCTAGTAAAGAGAAACTGAGAGGCTGGGATGAGAGCCCAGCAGTATGGCTGCTCAGTGATATTACACCGGTATAATTCAGGGTGCGGTACTGTTCCACCAGGAGGCTCCATTCTTCACACACAAAAATGTAACAGTGAAGAAGATGCCGGCAGGAGAATTTCTTTACAGAGACAGGCTGTCAGGCAGACACTCCAGGACACTGTGAAGTCTCCACAGGCCTGAAGGAAGACACGTTCTGTCTGTGAGGCTGGCAATGTGGTTTCACGAAGCGGAAGAGAGTTACTCTGACAAGAATGGGGTGAGAGGATGAAGCAGCAGGCTGAAAGCTATTAAGATGGGGATGGGGATGGGGATGGGGTGGGAGGGGGGGTGAAGGAAGGTGGGGGCTTGGGGACCACGCGGAGTCTGGAGAAAAGAGCTTTCTAAACTGAATTTGCTCAGCAAAATGCAGTGAACTGTGATCCCAAGTAATCTTCAAATAAAACAACAATAAGAACAAAAAACAAAAAAAAACCTGCTGTGTTCCGATATCTGGGGAAGTCTGAGTTTTGAAAATGAGGCGTAGGGTAAGAACAGAGGAAGAGATTGACGGTGAGCATCTGAGTCATAAATTTAAAACAGGCAAGAAAGAAGAAACCTGAAGTCAGGAAATTCGAACAGCATCCTGAAATCTAGACCGTTATATGGCTGCACCTGAGAAATGTGTTTTCCAGTGTATGCATTTACATGGAGCGATTTATAAAATATAAAACATATATATCTATATATAGATATATCTGTATCTATATATAGATATATATGTAAGGACTCATCTCTGACTGTTTGAACATTAAAGTCATATGACTCATTTACTTGATTAATTTCCCTTATTACCCCTTCCCCTTATTACCTCTGTTTCATGCCAAAAATTTGGGCCAGAGGGGAATTACACAAGCACTTTCTCTTTGTGCTGAACCAATAACTTCCATTAATCCTTATATTTACAGAATGACATAACTCACTGAGAGTTTCAGAGAAGGCCAGAAGCTAGTTAATTAGAATCCAGGAATACTCTTCCCTTCTTTTAAGAAGTCTCAAGTTGGAGTGGCACACAAACACCCAAGCTTGCTGTGTGTATGCTGCTGAAGTTATCTAACCTGGGAGAGAGGCGACTTGAAGTGGTGTGAACGTGTAAGATTTCCCTTCTCTTCAAGGTTGGGGTTTGGGGTTTAAGATCTCTGGGGAAAAAGCCAGGTACAATGGACCCTCAACTTACTATCAGCTGGACAAATGAACAACTTGGGTTACAACCAGAATTTGAGTTTTAACTTACAAACCAAGTCTTGAGTTATGACCTGAATGCCAGCCACTTGTGCTTCCAGATGGTCTCAGATACAGGTCTAACCCTTACAGAGCTCTGCAAGGAACATTACATCCTTTCCTGTGAGGGGATGAGATATCCTGAGATCTGCTTGTACCCAGAAGAGAGACTTTGAAGGCTGTGGAAGAGCCTGAGCCTTCAACTGACCAACTTGAGTTAAAACCAGCCCTCACAAGTTGAACTGAGTTAATCAGTCAAGGGTCCACTATAGTTGCCGCACCTGTAGACCACAGTGACTTTCCAGCCCTATGGATGCACCCGGTCAGTGCAGGGGTGGAAAGTGGAGAATCCCACACTGTCCAATTCAGCGCAGAGGAAAGACAGCAAGAGGGAACTGGATGTGAGCTGTACAGATGAAGCCTGGCCCTTGCCTCCTACTGACACAGGGCACACACCACTGAAGGCTTTCTCATTTTGCCATCTGTATTTGTGAGGTGTCTTCTACTTGGGAAAGGGCCCACTGGCTACCCATTATCATTCAGAAGCAGGGAAAGCTAAAATGGAGATACAGGACAGGAAAGCTATTTTTATATATTTGCTTTTCCAGGCATGCTGCACTCATATAGAAAGGGTAAACTCTGCAAGAGAGACAAGCCCTCGCGCTTACCTGTGCCAACACGATCAAGTATGGCTATGGTACTTAATGTCAGTATCACTCTGTTGGACATCTGATCACTCCAGATTGGGTTGAGTGAGGTGTACCATATTCGGAGGACAACAAGGAGAACCTGTCCTAAAATGAAGCCCCAGATTCTGAGGTACCTGCAAGTTCCAAAAGCGTTGTTAAAGACTTTTTATGTGGGCTCAATTTACTTTATCCGTTAGGAATTTGTTTCACCAAAAGAAAATGTGAAACTGTCTCATTGGTAATTTGTGGTAATGTACTTGACTCAGCCTTTCTATAGCCCATTACCTAGGCAATTTGTTAGCATTCTTTAATTCTCAGCACATTAGTGGGACTGAGGGTACAGTTCAGTGATAGAATATGTACTTAAGATGTGCATGGCCTAGGTTCAATCCCTGGCACTGAGAAAAACATATTGAGATTTATGCTAAGTAGTCACATCCTAGTCTTGCAAAAAGAAAAAAAAGGAGAGTTTGGCAAAGTTTTATAGAAGGTAAAAACTATAACTTGAAACTCCTGGCCCTGAGTTCCCCATTGGTAACCAATCATACGTCTTCATCTATAAATGGTAAAATCTCCAAAACTGTGCATCAAATTAAACTTCTCCTGTAACATGTGAGTGTCAGGTATGCTGTCCCAGCAGTGGGAAAACTGACCAATACATACCTTTGCCAGCTGTTTCCTGACCACCAAGTCACAGCTTGCACTAGCAGCGACGAGGACACACCCAGGGCCAGCATCACCAGTCGAAGTCGGGCATTTGGAGCCTGGAAGGAAGCTATGCTGCCTACAAACAAAATAAGGGGAGCTGAGCATTTTGAGTAAGCGTGCATGGGTAGCTGATGATCCACATATGATGAATGTTGTGTCTGATACTGTTGTTATACTCTGGAACACAGATTTAATACATAATTACACTTCTTTTTAAGTGTTTTATTTATATATAATTCACACACCATAAAATGTAGCATACTGTGTTAAAACATACAACTCAGTAGTCTTCAGTGTATTCACCAAGTTGTACAACTGTTACTACTGTCAATTTCTAGAATTTTGAATCACCCCAAAAGAAACCTAATACCAATTATCAGTCACTTCCCATCCCCTCCTGTCCCACCCCCAGAACCCTATATATCACTAATCTACTGTTTCTGTAGACTTTTCTAATTTGGGGCCTTGCATATAAATAGAATCATACAGTATGTGGTCCTTTGGACTGGCTTCTTTCCCTTAGCATAATATTTTCAAGGCATTCATGGTATAGCATGCATGAGTACTTCATTCTTTTTAAAGGCTTAATCATATCCACATGCACTAATTCACTGCATTTTGCTTGTCCATTCATCAGCTGATGGGCATTTGGTTGTTTTCTTTGTGGGGGTGGATCTTACAAATAACGCTACTTTGAACACTTGTGTAGAAGCTTCTATGTGAACATATGTTTTCATTTGAGGGGTGGGTATGTGCCAGGCAGTTGAGCTGCTGGGCTATATGACATCTTAGGGAATTGCCAAATGCTTTCCCAAAGTGGCTGTACCATGTTACACTTCTGACATTTCTACCAGCAAAACATGAAGGTTCTAAGTAGGCACATGCTTGCCAACGCTTGTTACTATATGTCTTTTTTTCCCAGTCACCCCAGTGGGTCAAAACACAGTCAAAAATAATCTAAATCAATGAGTATAAACTAGCTTCATAGGTAATTTCAGAGAAATTAACCTAAAATAGCTGAGGTACCAGAGGCAGACTGCATGTAACATGGAGACCTTCTCTGTGGTTAGGTAAAATCTTTAAGAACAAAGTGCTTCCTTTCCTTAAGTACTTGAAGGGAATTTAAGGTAAAGTACGGCTAACTGCAGCCTCTCTTCAGCACCAACAATCAATGGTCACCTAGAAGAAGAGTGCTTTACAGAGTGGCCTCTTCATCCTAACTCTGTGTGACCGTCTCTATTTTCCCAAATACTGTACAATTCTCCTTCCATGCAAGGTGGCAGGCTTTCACAGAGGAAGGTAGACAAGGGAAAATGACAGGAAGTGTCATAATCAAACACCACACACTGCCCAAACTTATTTAACATCATATATCTCACAGCCACTGAAAGTTACTAGACAGAACTGGATTTCATGAGAAGAGAAAAACAATGGCCAGGCGCAACATGCTTCTCTAATCTAAACTTTTTGTTTTCCTGGGTGCTTTTGGCCCACAGTTTAACCATTCATTTCTTGGTCAAGTCCCCCACACATGCCCTCTTCATAAAGGACGCAGTTTCCAGGAGTCTTCACTGCTCTTTCTGAGCCTGGGCCATTTCAAAAACAAGAGCTCTACACTTTTATGGGGAACCATGGAACTCAGCGCATTGCCCTGACTTCTTTGGGACTGACAGAAAAGCAGACGGCAATTTCTAGGGATTCCTGGCACTGCTTCTGAAAAAGACAAATGACTTCTTTCAGATAGAAGAAAAAAGAACGAATGTTACATGGAATTATCAGAGAAACCTACTGTGGCACAGCAGAAGAACAAGAAGTTTAGAGTTTTCAGCTATGGATCTGTTCTATCTGGAATTGGCATTTCCTTTTTAAATCTCTTCCCCATAATCTTATCTTCTTACTTTATTTTTACCAGTACTTCTCCAATGTTTTTCAATTTTTGTTAATATGAAAGAATCTGAATTTTGGTAATATAAAATGTACATTCATTTAAATTTTTTGTTATTTTTGACAATGTAATATAATCAAATTCAGAATTGAAAGGTACAAAAGATATAGAGGCCAAGTTTCCCCTCCAGACCTGTGTTCAGGTACCACATTCTCCACTCTTGCAACAGTCAAAATGCTATGAATTTTTAAATCATTTTAGAGATATTTAGGACACATACAACTAAATGCTAAGTATATTTTCATTCAAACTTTCATATAAAGGGTTAGCATCTATATGCACTATTTGACACAACCTTTTTCACAAAACATACTTTGAAGAACATTCCATTTCCTTATACTAGTGATATTTTCTCTTTTGTAGCTGCATAGTATCCCATACAGTTTCACAACCATAATGTATTTAACCTACCCCTTAGAGATGACAGATTATTTCCAGCCTTGCCATTATAAATATTGCTGAGATAAATAATCTTATATGTTTATCATTTTCTATACCTGTGAGTATGTCTGTATAATATAGTCCTAGAGGTGGAATTGCTAAACGAAAGGCTGTATGCAGAGTTGTAATTTAGATAAATACTGCTGAATTACTCTCTGTGGAAGTAGTACTGATTTACATATCCACCAGTGATGCAAAAGTGCCTACTGCCCACCCTTACAAGCCAATGCTGTCATACCTTGTTCTCTGCCAGTCCATTTCCAAGATGCTTATAAATACGTATGCGCATAATCTATATTCTGTTTTACATTTTAAAGAACAACTGCATTTCCTTTCCTGTAATTGAGCATATCTTTTTTGCCCCTTTTCTAGAGAACTGTTGGTCTTTTCTTTTATTATTATGTCTATTTTCCCATTTTTATTCAGTCACTCAGCATTCAGTAAACAGACTTCATGGTTCATGTTGTTCTTTAACAAAAGAGAAAATTCTCAAAGAAACACTGACCCACAGTGATGATCCGCAGCAAGGCCAGCATCCATTTCTTGTTAACCAATTTCCAGAAAGGAGTAATTGTTAGGAGTATTGGAGAAAGAAAGGCAACACCAAAAGCTTCGAGCCCGGTGAGCTCCAGTGTTTGCAGGGGAAAGTAAAAAATCATTGGCGCCAGGTCATGGTACAAAGACCAAGAAACATATCCTAGAAAAAACGTTTGACAGAGAGAGAGAGAGAGGGAGATTGTGTGTGACTTTGGCAGTTTCCAACAGTAGCCATGGCACTCCACTCCCATAATTAGTTTCCTGCCTCTGAAGGCTGTAACAATTCTTCCCCTACCCCAGGTTGAGAATGGCTTCCAGCTGTGGTGAGTTCCTTCGTCACACCACACCCCCGTAGTCCTTCAGTAACTTCTTGGCCTGGACCCTCTCAGTTGAATCTGGCTTCCTGTCGGGATCCTGAGGGTGCAGTTCTCTTTTCTCAGTTCACCCGTACATATATAATGAGAACTATCATGAAAATCAAAAAGAGCAACAAATGAGGGCCCGCGATGTTGCTCAGTGGCGCCGGCCACGCCTGCCTCGCTAGCGCAAGGTCCTGAGTAGAGCAACAAACAGCAGGACTCCCTCCCCTACCCTACACTACACCCACTGGCCCTTCAGTCAGACAACAACCACTGTTTTAGCAATAGGCCGTTTTGAACCCAGCCCTTAGGAGGCAGTGCAGGGTAGTAAAACACCCAGATCCGAAGTCAGCAGCACTTCTGCCAACAACTGATGGTGTCGTCATGCGCAACAATGATAATTAATGCTAATGTGGGCTCTGTGCAGAGTATTATTAACACAAACCTTCTCTTATTCTTCCTAGAAGTAACATCCTTCAAAACGGATGCTCTTTCTATGCCCTCTTATAAATGCAAAACAAACAAATTCCCAGATGTTCAGAAAGTTGCCCCAGGTATACCAGTCACCAGGCAGGGAGTGAATGTAGGTCTACGTAGTCCACCTCCAAAGTCGCTAATAACCACTATATGTGGTACCTTTGTCCCAAACTACCTCTCAATCTCCCTTTCTCAACCAGCAAAATAGGACTTTTAACCACCTCACAGGGACGTAGAAGGACTGAATCAGATCAAATATGAGATCGTACCTAATGCGGGAGGAACTTAATTACAGCCACCGCACAACTCCTATCTTAGAAGATGGGGGGGGGCTGGCGGGAAAATGGAGTCCAGCTCCCAGAAAACCAAGGTCTTGGGGTGGGGTGCGGGTCCTCCCAGGCCAGAAGGGTGCTTGCTTCGCAAGGGACCCTAGGATTCTAGCCATTCCCAGGCGTTTGTCTGGGATCTCTGCCTTGAATCACACAGACTGGCCAGAATTACCCCAAATCAGTCAGGGGCACTTACTGCAAAGGTGCTAGGTGAGTGCCGGAGACTTGAGCAGGATGCTCTGCGCCAGAGTGCAGCCGCCAATGAGGCCGCTTAAGCCTAGTCAAGACCCAGCTCCCGCCCAGCGCTATTTACAGCCGCTGGGGAGAACAGGTGCCCTATTCCTTGGTAAAGTTAAAAATTCAGTACGGACTTGTATTAAGTTAAATGTAGGTCACGGGTGGCTCACAGACCTGGCCGCGAGGGTCCAAGGCCGCACGCGGAGACCAGGCGCCCCGTGGGCTCTGCA